AAGCAGGGGTGAGCAAACTCCGGCCCTCCAGCTGTGGGGCAACTACAAATCCCTTTAGGCATTGCAAGACTGACAGCCACAAGCATGACTCCATGAAGCACATTCACGATGAGATTTGTAGTTTTACCACAGCTGGAGGGCTGGAGTTTGCCTACCCCCTGCTTAAATGTAATCACAGTGGAGTGGAGGGGGGGGGGGGGGGGGGGGATGAGCTGCTGAGATAAGGACTTTAGTGAACTATTGAGGAATAGCTCCAGAGCAGCTGCAGCTACAGAGATCAGTGAGGGCTTGTTTGAAAGGTCATTGACCACTTGTTTTGAATATGTAGCACCTCAATTTCGATAGCTTGGCCACGGGTTCACTTTAAGACTGGAATTTGCCTACCCCTGCATTAGAGATTAGAAGGCTGCGGAGGAAACGGCTTGCATGACGTTTGAGAATTAATTGCTCCACGGTACCTGCAGCTACAGAGGTCAGTGAGGACTTGTTTCCAAGCTCATTTATTGCTTACTTCGAAGATGTAAAGACTTCAATGTTTGCAGCCTTGCCTCATGTTCACTTCAAGGGGGTACCCCAGGCAAACCTTGTTCTGTTTTGGAGATGGATGACAAGGGTATTAGGGAGGAGTCTTTCTCCTTAAAGGAGAACTATGAGGTGAGTGAAAATCAGTCATCCTCATAGTTCGAGCCGACGTGTGACAAATGAAACTGTCGCTCGCTCACTTTTCGGTCATGCCCCTGCAGAGTGCGGTGACTGTCAGTCACGGCTCCGTGCAGGGATTCCACCCTCCCCTGTCCGATCCTCCAGCACTGACTGGCGGAACAGACGGGGGAGGGGGCAGGCACAGCTGGCTCTGTTTCTAGATAGGCAGAGTCAGCTGTCACTCCCGCAGCTGGGTGGATCTCGACAGTAATGTAGCTTGCGGTATACTAAGCTTTGGGTCATGGGAGGACACTAGTATATGTCCTCCCGTGACCCTTAGGAGAACTAAGGGGAAAAACACTTACCTCATAGTTTTCTTTTAATATTCAAACAATGTGTCACCGGAATAGAAAGCGAGAGGAAAACTTCCCAACGCAGCCCAGACATCAATAAAACTTGGCACAGGTTCTAACCTTCCCTCACGTTATCCAAACCTTTAAAAAAAATTTGGAGTTCCATATACAATTCTGCTAAATACCTGCTATTAAAAGGTGTATGTGAAGGAAAAAATGTTTTTCCTTTTGGATAGAGTGGGGAAGAGTTAGACCAGGGGACTACAAATCCCATGAGGCATTGCAAGATTCTCACAGCCAGAGGGCTAAGGGCTGAAGGGCTAAGGTTGCCTACCCCTGGTCTGTGAAGTGACTTTAGGCCTTTAACCCTTTCGCTGCCAAGGACGTATGGCATACGGACCTACAAAAGTGCTTCCAGCTGGCCAAATTTTATTCCCTGAGAGGGCTGATTTATAGGAAAAACTTCCTGTTTGGTGACTACACTGCCACTGGGACAGGAAAGCTCCTCGACGGGGACACAGACGTGACAGGTTCCTGTGTTTATTCAGTGTCTGAATAAACACAGGTCTGGAGTTGCACTTTATCTGAGGCTGGAGGCCTGTACTGTGCGTTCTGTTCTGTTACACAAGGAACACAACAGGATGTGTCTGTCTTATTTTGCAAGACTTTCTGAACTCGCTGAGAGAACAAAAGGCAAGGGCCCGGTCTATGACGATGACACAGGACAAAGCTGTTCAAACACAACTATGTGTACAGGAGAGAGGTTCAGCAGGTGCCCCGGGCTATCTCTTGCCGTGTAAAGTTTCACATGTATATGTTCGTCCTCCTCATACATTACCTTCAACCACACAGTGCAATCATACTTGACTATTGGAATCCCCCATGTCAGGGGCGGGCAAATTCTGGCCCTCCAACTGTTGTGGAACTACAAATCCCATGAGGCATTGCAAGATTCTCACTGCCACAGGCATGACTCCAGGAGACAGATGCATCATGGGATTTGTAGTTTTACCACAGCTAGGGGGCTGGCATTTCCCCGTCATCTAAAGAAAACTATAAACATGGTATAAACAGAAAAACAAAATTCAGCAAAAAATACAGAGCCATGTACAGGGCACACACACACAGTCCATATACCCACCGCACTCGGATGGCGCTATTCCAATGTAATAAGATGGGTGCTACGGTTGTTGGCGGATGGCAACCGCCTCATCATATGTACAAAAGCATGCTTTGTAGACATGTACAGGGCGCAGGGACACGCATCATATGGTGTGCTGACAGGTGCACAACATTTGATTTGTATCTCTGGATAGAGTGGGGGAAGGGCTAAACCATGGGTAGACAACCTTGGCCCTCCTTCTGTTCTGGAACTACAAGTCCCATGAGGCACTGCAAGACTCTGATAGCCACAGGCATGACTCCCAGAGGTAAAGGCATGATGGGACTTGTAGTTTCAACAAAGCTGGAGGGCCGAAGCTGCCTACCCCGGCCAAGTTTTTATTGCGGTCTGTGTCCCCATTGGGGAGATTCGCCCCTTTGTTTATATTGATGATCACGGTCACCGAGAAGGAAAGCGGATCCAAAATGTTACCTCGGTCCCCAGGAGAGGGGGACTCTTCCATTGCCGATACCTGTTCTGGGGACAACTTCCACTTTGGGAGATTTCCTCTTACTTACTGTTGTGTTTCTGGGACAGGAAGTGAAGGGAAATTTGGAATGACCCCATACACAGACAAAACAAAATAGCTGTAACCCTTCACTACTCTATCCAAGTAAAAAAAAAAAAAAGTTTGGTCCATACATACACTTTAAGAAGTTGCATAACTCCAAGTCTTGGCATGACTGTGCAGTTTTTGAATGACAAGGCAAGGTGATGAAGTCCACCCCGATGGTGCTGCCCTGACGCTCCACGAAGACACCGCTCTTGAACCTCTGCACCACACACGTCTTCCCGACCCCGGCATCCCCGATCAGCACGATCTTGAAGAGGAAATCATAAGCGTCGTCTGATTCCAGTGGGGTGGACATGCCGGGGTCCCGGGAACCGAGACCTCCTCCAGCAGCCCGTGACGTGGTGCGAGCACCCGCGGATCTGACAACGCGGAACTACAGGACCTCTGTTCAGAATAAGGACACCAAGGGCTGTCCCACCGCTGCGCCTAACTCGATTGCATGGCAAGTAATACACCACTTTCACATAGCTGCCCCGCCGCTGCCTGACTGGAATATGACGGAAAGGATAGAGCGCTTTCACATTGCTGTCCTTTCCCGTGCCGGACTAGGAGTTAAAGGGCCACTAAACATTGTAAACTGACTACCTTGCTGTAATGTGTGGCGAGTCACTGACAAGGTTTTACAGCCAGTGACATATGTGAGCTGCATATTTCTTCCAGGTCACTAACATAGCTGTAGTAAAGTAAGAATAGGGATGATGATAGTGCTGGAGCTAATGAAATAAATATGGGGTCACTCTTGCTTGACTGGTTTAATAATCACTTTACATCTCTTGGTGGTATGACTTAATTGAAAGCAGGATAAAAAAATAAAATTAAATAAAGAAAACAAATATTACAAAAAATAATAAAAAATAAATTCTCTCTCTCTCTCTCTCCTGTCTCTCTTCTCTCTCTCTCTCTCTCTCTCTCTCTCTCTCTCTCTCCCGCTCTCTCTCTCTCTCTCTCCTATCTCTCTCTCTCTCTCTCTCCTGGCTCTCTCTCTCCTGGATCTCTCTCTCTCCTGTCTCTCTTCTCTCTCTCTCCTGTCTCTCTCTCTCTCCTGTCTCTCTCTCTCTCTCTCTCTCTCTCTCTCTCGCATGCATAATTTTTTAGCTGTAGATCCTCAAATCATCTCTGAATTGGTGAAAAAACTGTCCTTCCTTCCAGAGGGTGACTACTTTTGTTCTCCATGGTCCTTGTGTGTGATGTAATGTATTCACCACTCCCAAACTCGCTCCTGTTATAGACTATAATGTCAATAAATATTACTAAATTAAATGTGAGATTTAGTTTCCTAATATGTCATGAGCAAAGGAAGTGTAAACTACATCTCCCACGCTAGAATAATTCTCAGAATTAATCTTTGTCATCTTTAACATCCACAACTGCCACCACAAGCATCACCACTATCACCTGTGGCTATGTTATCTAGCTACTGCCAACGTGTCCTCCAGCTGCCCCTAGACGCATCTTTCGTGCGTCCAGGGAAAGTGATTTATTCTAAACTGCATGTAATCTAATCGCATACGATTACATGGGACCCTTTACTTTACAGATGCTTGACATTTTGGCTTTCAGCCACAAGAATCCATAGGTTCCTGCCACAATTAGTAGCATTAGTAGCGGGTCTAAAATTGGCCACAGTCAGATTGTGATCTGTCACATCAGCATACTTTGCCAACAACTGTGCGGTGCGCTTCCGTATCTTAAAAATCCAGTCAGATTATATCAAGTCGGATAGACGTTCACACAACACAGTTGTTATGCTGCATTCCCACAGGCATCCAAAGGCAGCTGGATTGCAGAATTCATGTTAGGGGTGACTTTCGTGGCAGGTGATGCGGCCTCATCTGAGATGCTGATTCTAAGGGACACCTTGGTGTTTACCAGAGCACCCTGCAAGGGGTGATGATCCAGTGACCCTAGATGTCCCTGGGCAGATGGCTATGATGTAGAGACAGGAAGGCAGCAGGTTGAGGTTCAGGTTTTGAGATGCTGATTCTAAGGGACACCTTGGTGTTTACCAGAGCACCCTGCAAGGGGTGATGGACCAGTGACCCTAGTTGCCCCTGGGCAGATGGCTATGATGCAGAGACAAGAAGACAGCAGGTTGAGGTTCAGGTTCTGAGATGCTGATTCTAAGGGACACCTTGGTGTTTACCAGAGCACCCTGCAAGGGGTGATGGGCCAGTGACCCTAGTTGCCCCCGGGCAGATGGCTACGATGCAGAGACAGGAAGACAGCAGGTTGAGGTTCAGGCTGAGAATGACGCAGGTGACATGCAAGAGTGGTCGAAATCCAGGCAGAGGTCGTATCAGGAAAGAATAGTCAGGAACGAGAAAGGTTGGCAACAGGGGCAGAGGATACAGTCAGAGTCAGGCAGGCAATCCTGGTCAGCAACAAGCAAGGCAGAAAAACAGTAATCTCGTGAATACGGTAGCTGACAGGAAGTCACCCTGCTGGCCACTAAAAGGGAAGGAGCTTAAATATCCTCTGAATTCTGTGAACATGCCCAGCATCAGGGACGCTTGCCCATCAATGCTCATACCTACACATGCAACCTGCCATAGCCAAGGAGCCACAAACTGGCATGAGTGAGACACACTGCAAACGAACAGGAAGGGCTATGCCCCGGGCAGTACAGACAAGGATCCTAGATGTACTGAAACGGTTCAGGTTCGGCTAATCGCCAACGCAGCAGTACTCTGTTCTGTGGCTGCATACAAACTGCAGCCAGTCTGCGTCCACAACCGCCATCCGTGGGCGCAAACTGTCTATGTCCAGGGCCAGTCAGAATTTCTATTCACATCTAACCACTCAGATGAGCATATTCAGTGAACATGGGCCATTAACACCAAGGTGTTGACCACCTACATGATATTGGAAGTGTTTACCATATAGATGTTATTTGGCTGGACAAGCTGTGGATTTATATTTTCTCTGGATAACCTGTGGAATTGTGAGCACACTTTTGTGCACCCGTTTTACGCTCAATAACTCAGTTGCTTGTCTTCAGAAGACATCAGGAATAATCACTAAGGATTCACCGATACTGGTATCAGTATCGGTGCCGATACCGAGTATTTGGGCGAGTACTCATACGCACCCAAATGCTCCCGATGACTGTCCTGATACTGGAACTTCCAAGTTTTAGGAAGCAGGGCAGCGAGTCATTAGATGCTGCCCGGCTTCCTGATTGGCCGGGAAGCCGTCTCCATACTCCCTCCTCCCCAGGTAAAGCCGGCTGGCGGGTAATGACTCGCCCCCCGGCTTCCTGATTGCCCGGGAAGCCGGCTCTACGGTCCCTCCTGTAATGAGGAAGCTGGCCAATCAGAAAGCCAGGAGGCAAGTCATTACCCGTCCCACGGCTTCCTGATTGGCCAGAAAACCGGCTCCATGCTTCCTCGTCGCTTCCTCGCCGTTTGGCTTCTTGACCAATCAGAAAGCCAGGCGGCAAGTCATTACCCGTCCCACGGCTTCCTGATTGGCCAGAAAACCGTCTCCATGCTCCCTCGTGATGAGGGAGCATGGAAACGGCTTCCCGGCTAATTGGTAAGCCGGGCAGCAAGTCATTACATGGCACCCAGCTTCCCGGCTAATCAGGAAGCCGTGCGGTGAGTCATTACACACCGCCCAGCTTCTCTAACGGCACTTCAAGTATCAGCATTCGGATCAGCAAGTACCGGAAAAAAATATCGGTACTCGTACTCAATACCGAAAAAACGGTATTGGTGCTTCCCTAATAATCACTGAAAGAAATAATTACATGAACATTATTGCAATGGGGTAACCTCTGATTACCTCCATAGTGTACATGAACTTGACGCATGCTGCCTTATAGTGGAAGGAAAGTCATGAAAAATTCTGATCAGCAGACTTTATATAACAGAAGAGACTGTTTCAGTCTCTTCTTCCATAAAGCTTCTTGATGACAATCAGCAATTTGTTTTCTGTACACTAAGCCACATATGCTCAGCTCAGTGCACAGACCCGGTATGATGAGATGAGGTAACTCCTGTGTGCATGTGTGGGAGTTACATTCTCGGTGCCCAGCAATCAAGCACCCGAAGACTCGAAGCCCAGAAGCAGGCAAGGCTGAAGACGGCAGTGCCGGAAGACTCAAAACTCGGAGACTCAACCCGGAAGAAGAAAAGGATGAAGAGGAGCACAGCACTGAAAGGTATCAGTTCGGCAGGTAAGTCTGCCATCATGTGCTAATGTATTGTGCAAACCAGCACATTATGGCTACGAGCTCCAGGCTCCCTTTCTCATACAAATAGTAAGAACAATGAAATAATTTTGCCAATTCGAACAATCTCTATTCTTGGGACTTTTCTGTTTTGTTTTGTTTTTTAATATATATTTATTGTGACAGTCTAGCTGTATTCGTGTTTATTAGGTTATCACATTGTCCCAGTTGTTTTTTACTTTTCCATTTTAAAGGAAACCTGCATAGAGGTAAATATGAGCGCTAATATTTTTGACCTCTGTATCTGAAAAAGTTAGTTGCTTAGCAGCCATACTCATATAATGGTTCAATAAAAGAAAAACATCTGCTAGGTTTGATGTTTGGAATTTTACTGTGCTGTTTTATATTTTATTTTTTTATTAGCCTGTTTTATATGGAAGATGTTTTGAATACATACTGCCAAGTCGTAATATAGCTTAGGGTATCTTCAACTTATATTTATCTTCAACATCTTGACTTACCCTATCTTCCTCTCACACTTAGGGAATGTCTTAAAAGATAGACCCTCTAGTGGTCACATGAGTGCATTATTTTATTCATCTTTTTCTATTTTTTATCATTGTTCAATTTCCTATATAGTATTTGTATTAGATATATTATTTAATGTATTTCCTTGTAGCCCGGATGAAGGGGGATTGAATTGGCTGTGCATATCTTTTTGTCACCATTTGTGAAACCAATAAAAGTGGACTCTTGAGACGATTATCTAATGCTCATTCTTCATTCATGTGGATTTCTCATTCTGGGCATCCCCTCCCTCTGCAGGTCCCCCTGTTTTGTGAAGAGCCTCCGGAACCGAGTCATCAGGACCAAATATTGCTCCTATTCAACTAGAGAAATTTCGGGGTCCAGTGCCTTATCCTCACTCACTCCACAATAACGGAAAAAAGCAGGTCCCAGCACCAATAGTCAAATGTCAGGTAGGTAAGCATCACTTCCGGGCGATGAAGGGCCGTGTTCAAGGCGTCCAACACTTGACCGAGTGGCGGGTGACGTCCCTTCTGGTAGGTAAGCCTCACTTCCGGGCGATGGAGGGCCGTGCTCAATGTTTGGTATCTGTTTACCCGGCGTGACCCCATATGTTATATTTTACCAAACAATTGGGCATTATATTCTGTTTCTGTGCGCTAAATTTTTTATTTTAGTGTATTTTATCCTAAAAATACTTGTTTGATAAACATTTGCGCAAATACTGTGCGACATAAAAAATTACAACAAGCATATTTTTATTCTACAGGG